TAATGTAAACTTTAAAGCTTGATTCCACCCAAATTTTGATTACGTGACCATGGGAATGCTGCAACGGTCATAAGTGTGAAGGCCAGTAGTAATTCACTTTTTTCAGAACTGTCCTAACTTTGAACGGTCACTGAACAAATGGTTGCAAGCAGGGGTGGGTTCTAAAATTATTTACTACCAGTTCTGTGGGCGTGGCTTATTTTGTGGGCGTGGCTTGGTGCAGGGGTAATGTGACTGGGTGGGCATGGCCAACTTTTTTTTTTTTTACTTTTAAAAGTATTTTTTCTACAACCTTAAGAGGTTGCAGGAAAAAATGCTTTTAAAAGCCTCTGACGATCCCAGCTGAGCTGCGGGATCATCAGAGGCTTTTTTTTTTACTTTAAAAAGCATTTTTTCAGCCGAAGAAGTTGTAGAAAAAATGCTTTTAAAAGTAAAAAAAAAAAACTGCCTCTGATGAGGTGGGCAGGGTAAGCGAGCGGCAACCAGGCCAGGAACTGGTTTGGGGGCGTGGCCAGCCAATGTTATTACTGGTTCTCCGAACTACTACAAATTTTTACTACTGGCTCTTGCGAACCGGTGCAAACCGGGAGCAACCCACCACTGGTTGCAAGTCAAGGACTATCTATATGGGGAAAAAACAAGTCCACTTGGAAGCAAACTTTCTTGTAAAATAGGCAAGTAGCTGGAAGCAACCTCGAGTTTCTCAAACACTGTCAAAAATTACAACTTAGAGCATTGAATCCTCCGTAGGTTTGGGAATTCGAACCTTTCATTTCAAGCTTCTACAGGGAGAGGCGGCATTTATGCGAGATTAACAAGTTATTAGAAATATTTTTTTTTATCTCGGCAAGAGACTTCAAAAGTGAATGCCAGGGTCATTTACAAGAACATTCCCTGATGACTTAGCCAAAGCAATAATGAGTTCTTGCTTTTTGCTGTCAAGCTCAAACGGGCGCCGGCAGGAATTATTTGATTTAATTAAAGAATAGGTCTATTGTTGCCGTGTTCAACTCCTCCAAGCCAGGATGCAAAATAGAGCAGCTTGACATTACCTCCTTGTTCAAAAGAATGGGAAGACCCACCTCAATTCCTGGGTGGAGTTCAGCAAACAAAAGACTGGTTTATACTTTTCGGGAATGGATCCAGTCAAGGTTCAATTAAGGGGGAAGCCACGAGTAAAAGTCACATCTTGAGAAGTGACCATCGTGACCAGCACGGATTTCACATATTCTTGCCACCAGTTCGCATCATGCGTACATGCTCGATTTGCATGCTTTTGTGTTTGCGCCCGGCCTTCTGCGCATGTGCATTGCTCACGCACATGCCTCCCGCGCATGCGTCCGGCAGTGGTGAAATTCAGCCAGATCTATCCACATCGCGCGATCCGGTAGCACCGGCAGCGGGCAGGTCCGCCTACCCGGACTCCACTCCGCCCGGACGTCATCACATCCCATTTTTGACCCTTTGCACCAGTGATGAAATGTAAAATTTGTTACTACCGGTTCTGTGGGCGTGGCTTGGGGGGGGTAATATGACTGTGTAGGCGTGGCCAACTTTTTTTTTTTTTTACTTTTAAAACCATTTTTTCTACAACCTCTTCAGCCTAAAAGGCTGTAGAAAAAATGTTTTTAAAAGCCTCTGGTGAGTTATGCAAAATGTCTTGAAGAAAAAAATTCAATTTTCTCCTCAATTGTTTTTCCTGGGTATAGTTAAGGGTTTTTCAGTGGGTGAAACAAAATTGATATTGTATATGGTGACAGCAGCTAGGTTACTGATTGGTCAATATTGGAAAAGGGATGATATGCCTACAATTCAAGAATGGACTTTGAAGATGGCCAGTTTTGCAGAAATGGCGAAGATATCAGCATACTTAAAAGACCGGACTCAAGAGACTTATGCATGGGAGTGGAAGAAATGGATAGATTATGTGCAGAATAAATACCAAACTAGGAAGTACCAGATAGCTTTTAGCTAAATGTTGTGTAGAAATGTATAGTTTATAGGGGGCAAAATAGCTTATTGTTATGTAGAAATGTATAGGGCACAGGGGGGAGAATAGAGGGGTGGTAAAGTATGATATAATATAATGTGGATGGATTTCACCTTGGGGAAGTCAGGGGGAGAGGGGAGGGTTTGGGGGGATTAGGGAGGGATGGGGGGGGAAATGGGGGAAAAATTGATGTTTGTAAAACTTTTTCAATTAAAAAAAAAAGCCTCTGACAATCCCAGCTGAGCCATGCAATCATCAGAGGCTTTTTTTTTTTTTACTTTTAAAAGCAGTTTTTCAGCCGAAGAGGCTGTAGAAAAAATACTTTTAAAAATAAAAGAAAGAAACCTCTGATGATTGCGTGGCTCAACTGGGTATGTGGGGGGGGCAGGGATTTTTGTTACCGGTTCTCCGAATCACCCGCCGCCATCGCTACCGGATTGCACAATCCGGTCCGAACAGGGAGCATTTCACCCCTGCTTTGCAAACTTGCTCACATTGCGAACCGGTAGCAAAGGTACATGAATTTCACCTCTGGCATCCGGCCTCGAAAACATGGCTAAATAGGATGGTGGGGCAGGTGGATGGCCACCCACAGTCGCCGCTACCGGTTCTCCCGAACCGGGATGAACCAACTGAATACCACCTCTGATCACGACGATTGCTGGTGTAGAAGAAGGCCGGTAGCTAAAAATGCAGAGTTGCATTTCTACATTTGAAATATATAACAGGGCGCCCTCTGGAGGTGTTAAGTTTAATGTAAGTAGTCCTTCACTTACATCCATTCATCTGGTGACCGTTCGAAGTTACAACGGCACTGAAAAAAGGGACTTATGAGTGTTTTTCACACGTACGAACATTACAGTATCCCCCTGGTCACGTGATTAAAATTCGGATGCTTGGCAACCTACTCATATTTATGACAGTTGCAGTATCCCCGGGGTCACATGACCACCTTTTGGGATCTTCTGATGAGCAAAGTCAAGGGAGAACTAGATTCACTTAACGACCATGTTACTAATTTCACAACTGCATTGATTCATTTAACAACTGTGGCAAGGAAGATGGTGACATGACGCAAAACTCACTTAACAACTTTCTTGCTTAGCAAGAGAAATTTTGGCCTCAGTTATGGTCGTAAGCAGGGGTGAAATCCAGCAGGTTCTGACAGGTTCTGAAGAACCGGTAGCAGAAATTTTGAGTAGTTCGGAGAACCGGCAAATACCACCTCTGGCTGGCCCCAGAGTGGGGTGGGAATGGAGATTTTGCAATATCCTTCCCCCAAGAGGGGGGAGGGAATGGGGATTTTGCAGTATCCTTCCCCCAGGAGTGGGGAAGGGAATGGGGATTTTGCAGTATCCTTTCCCCTGCAGTGGGGAGGGAATGGGGATTTTGCAGTATCCTTCCCCCAGGAGTGGGGAGGGATGGGGATTTTGCAGTATCCTTTCCCCTGCAGTGGGGAGGGAATGGGAATTTTGCAGTATCCTTCCCCTGCTATGCCTACCAAGCCACGCCCACAGAACCGGTAGGGAAAAATTTTGGATTTCACCTCTGGTCGTAAGTTGAGGCTACCTAATAGCAAGGGACTTCTAGTCTAAAACATCCGGAAGATGTCTTAAGATGTTGAAGAAACCTGATCAATACGAGAAATTATTGCTGCCTTTTTCTGACAGGTGTGTTCCAAAGATGAATATGGGACAAGATTTGGGTTCATTGCTCTGCTTTTCAATAAGGCCCAAAATTTGAAAGAATACGATAAATTTTGTAAATAAAAATGGCGACAGTTTACAAAGATTACTAGGTGCTAATCGAAATGCACACTATTTCCATAGCAAGGAAGATAAAGCAGGAATGGTTAAATTGAATACTTTATTTAAAGAGAAAAATATGTCCGTATTTGGATATCACTTCTGGAATTTGTGCTTGTGGGGGGGGGGAAATGAAACTTTGGTTTTGGTTTTGTTGATTAGAAAGATTTGGTGTTATAGAAATGGCTGGTTATATATTAATATGTAAAAGCAAAAAAGCTGAGGATAGAGTGTATTTACCTTATACTGTGCTAGGAAGAGTTGGAAGCAGGGGTGGGGCTGCTGGGAGTTCGCAAGGGTTCGGGAGAACCTCTAGCTAAGATTCTGTGTTGTTCAGAGAACTCCCAAATCCTACTCCTGGCTGGCCCCGCCCACCCCGCTTTGCCCCTCCCAGAAGTCCCCACAAGGCCCGTTTTGGATTTAAGTAAGTGCAGGGTGTGTGCGGAGCCTCAGGGAGGGCGAAAAATGGGCCTACCGGAAGTTTGAGGGCCGCTGGAGCCTGGGGAGACCATTTTCACCCTCCCGGAAGCTCAAGGAAAGTCTCCGGAGCCCGGGGAGGGCAAACCACCACCACCCCGCCGTGGTGCAGGAAGCCGACTAGGCCACGCCCACCATGGCCACACCCTCCCAGCAACCAGGAAGAGAACCCCTTGCTAAAATTTTTGAAGCCCACTCCTGGTTAGAAGTCAATGCCCCCTTTTCTTTCTTTATCTCATCCCGCTTGTATTTCATATCCCCTTTTTTTATTATTATTATTATTTTTATTTTTAATTTGATTTATATGCCGCCCTTCTCCGGAGACTCAGGGTGGCTTACAGTGCGTTAAGCAATAGCCTTCATACTTTTGTATATTTTATACAAAGTCAGCTTATTGCCTCCAACAAACTGGGTCCTCAATTTACCTACCTTAGAAAGGATGGAAGGCTGAGTCAACCTTGAGCCTGGCGAGATTTGAACTTACTTTAATTGCAGACAGCTGGTGTTAAATTAACAGTGTTTAGTCTGCAGAGCTATCCAGGCTCCTTTTCCCTTTCCTACCCTCAATTTCCTATTTTCTTTTCTCTTTTTTTGTATTTTATACAATAAAAATAAAAAATAAACTTCAATAATAACAATAATAATAATATTGACCACTTCCTGAAGATCGCAACGGAAGTCCTTTCGATACAACCTTCAACTCTTTTCTTTGAATGCTTGTTTCACAGCTCCTGAGGTCTATCCCAGTAGGAGTCGGGCAAGTCTATGGTTGCGATAACCCTTGGACTGGTGGCATCGTCATGCTGGCTGTTTTCATTTCATCCCCTCTCATCTTCAGTCATGCGGTGCTTGGCTCAGCAGTTGGAATACCTGCAGGTATGACAGATGGCATTTATCATTCTGCCCAGCAACTTTCTCCAACCTGGAAGGCCCCCAAATGTGTTGGGCCATATCTCAAGAATTCCGACTTGTCATGTTGATGGAAAGTTCTGAGAAAAAGATGTCCACCATTCCAGCATCTCGTCAATATCTCAAGAAGCTTCAGGTTAGAATAGAATAGAATAACAGAGTTGGAAGGGACCTTAGAGGTCTTCTAGTCCAACCCCCTGCCCAGGCAGAAAACCCTACACCCACTATTGGAAGGCCAATACTAAGGTCCTATTTCTCCTGCCTACGCTGTATCTCTGTGGGTGGAATCAGGATTGCATTTGCTTTGTTTGCAGCTGCATCACCCTATGGCAGAGATCTTCAAACTTGGCAGCTTTAAGACTTGTGGACTTCAACTCCCAGAATTCTCCAGCCAGCATAGCTCCAGCCAGCATAGCATAGCTGGCTGGAGAATTCTGGGAGTTGAAGTCCACAAGTCTTAAAGCTGCCAAGTTTGAAGATCTCTGCCCTATGGGTTCATGTCCTAAAAGTGTTTTTCCCAAAAAAAAACCCAAAAACAACTGGACTTTTTTTGCCTTGAAAATGTTTCGCTTCTCATTCAAGAAGCTTCTTCAGTTCTCTTGGATGAGAAGCGAAACGTTTTCAAGGCAAAAAAAAAAAGAAAACCCAAGAAGATCTTCAATCAGAATAGATCTTGGAAGGGACCTTGGAGATCTTCTAGCTACACCGTCTCCTCAAGCAGGCACGCGATCTATCGCCCAACCCACCTACAGCTGCTCATGTGCCAGTGGTGGGTTTCAAAATATTTTCCTACCAGTTCTGTGGACGTGGCTTGGTGGGCGTGTCATGGCTTGGTGGGCGTGGCTTGGTGGGCGTGGCAGGGGAAGGATACTGTAAAATCTCCATTCCCTCCCCACTCTAGGGGAAGGTTACTGCAAAATCCCCATTTCCTCCTGATCAGCTGGGACTCAGGAGGCAGAGAATAGATGGGGGTGGGGCCAGTCAAAGATGGTATTTACCGGTTCTCCGAACTACTCAAAATTTCCACTACCGGTTCGCCAGAACTGGTCAGAACCTGCTAAAACCCACCTCTGGCATGTGCGCGCACACCAGCTGGTATTCGGGCCTCTGGTGCACATGTGCGCAATTCAGGGGACCCAGCTGGTCTTTGGAGCTCTCCTGCGCACGCGTGCGTGTTTGCGCATGAGTGTGAGAGTAGTTGTGCACAGCGCGCGCATGCATAAATGGTGTTCGTGCACATGCATTACACACATGAAGACCATGTGCATGTGCATATGGTGCGATTAGGCATGCAGCGCATGGGGCACGTGTGCAAAAGACGTGCGCATGCACAGATGGTGCGGTTGCATCTGCAGCACACTGGGGAGGAGCCGCGCATTAGCGTGGATAGCACGCGCATGTGGAAAGGGCACAAAGCCCGTACCTGTAGTGGAGCACCCACTACTGTAGTAAAAATTTGTAGTAGTTTAGAGAACCGGTAATAACATTGGCTGGCCACACCCCTGAACCGGTCCCCGGCCGGTTGCCGCTCGCTTATCCCGCCCACCTTTTTTAAAAAATTATTTTTAAAAGCATTTTTTCTACAACCTCTTTGGCCGAAAAAATGCTTTTAAAAGTAAAAAAAAAAAAACCTCTGATGATCGCGCAGCTCAGCTGGGATCGTCAGAGGCTTTCAAAAGCATTTTTTCTACAACCTCTTCGGCCAAAGAGGTTGTAGGAAAGAAAATGCCTTTAAAAGCCTCTGGCGATTCCAGCTGAGTTGCCTGATCATCAGAGGCTTTTAAAAGCATTTTTTTTCTGCAACCGTAATTGGCCCCGTAATTTAAAAAACAATGACAAACCAATTAAAAACATTTAAAAGTGTTAAGCCAGCCCGGCTTGCTGAAAAAAGAGGGTTTTAAGGGCACGGCGGAAGGCACCAAGGTCTTGGATCCTCCTTCTCTCCGGGGGCAGCTGATTCCAGAGGGTAGGAGCCGCCACAGAGAAGGCCTTCCCCCTGGGGGTCACCAGCCTACATTTTTTGGCTGATGGCACCCCAAGGAGGCCCTCTCTGTGGGAGCGCACAGGTCGATGGGAGGCCGTCGGTAGCAGCAGACGGTTGTAGAAAAAATGCTTTTAAAAGTAAAAAAAAAAAAAGTTGGCCACGCCCACCCAGTCACATTACGCCCCCACCAAGCCACACCCACAAAATAAGCCACGCCCACAGAACCGGTAGTAAAAAAAATTTAGAATTCACCCCTGCCTTAGTTCTAGGTTGCTTCTTTCTTTGATTAGTCTCCATCCATTGGTTCCTGGCTTGTCTTCGGGTGCTTTGGAGAATAGGTTGATCCCCTCTTCTTTATGGCAGCCCCTCAAATATTGAAACACTGCTATCATATCTTCCCTGGTCCTCCTTTTCACTAGATTAGACCAGTGGTGGGTTCCTTCCGGTTCGGTCCGGTTCGGCCGAGCCAGTAGCAGTGACGATATGACGTCACCAAACCGGTTCTCCCCCCCCACCCCCCCACATTATTCTTACCTTTTATTTGGTCCCACCCCCAATCTATTGCTGCCTCCTGAGTCCCAGCTGATGACTAGAGGGAAAAAAACTGTTTAAACTCTTGCCGCGGGGCTTCAAAGGGCCGCCCTACAGCTGATCAGTGTTAAAAGCAAACAAATGAGTCGGGTCGTAAGTGTGAGGACCTTCCAGAAATGACTCTGACCAGCTAGCCATGCCCACCTAGTCACATGACCTCCAAGCCACACCCACACAATAAGCCATGCCCACAGAACCGGTAGTAAAATAATTTAGAACCCACCCCTGGATTAGACATACCCAGTTCCTGTATCTATGGGACAACCAGGACCTAGACGATTGAGAATGTCCATAGATGTCCATAGATCTATATGGGATCATGTTCATTTTGAGTTAAAGCTACGGATTGGGAGAGGTGGACACCAGGAGACCTTCTGGACGGCTATATTCAGGGCTGGTCTGCTGGGGGTTCGCAGGGGTTCGGGAGAACCTCTAGCTAAGATTCTGTGCAGTTCGGACAACCCCCCAAATCCCACTCCTGGCTGGCCCCACCCACCCCTCCCCTCCCAGGAGTCCCCACGCAGCCCGTTTTGGATGCAGGTAAGTGCAGGGCACATGCGGAGGCTCAGAAAGGGCGAAAAACGGGCCTACCGGAAGTTTGGGAAGGCTGGAAACGGGCTTCCAGATGGCCTCCGGAGCCTGCGGAGGCCATTTTCGCGCTCCCAGAGGCTCGAGGAAAGCCTCCGAAGCCCGGGGAGGGCAAAAAGGCTCCCCACTGCCATGGTACAGGAGGCCGACTAGACCACACCCACCATGGCCACGCCCACCCAGCAACCGGGTTGAGAACCCCTTGCTAAAAAATTTTAAACCCACCCCTAGCTATATTCTCTATGGACTCAAGCTCACCCAAGTTTTTCGTCTGTTTTGCTTTGTAGCCCTGAGCCTGGCTTCCCCTTTGAACAAAATTTATGCCGGTTTGTGGAATTACAACAGTTGCCTCTCCTGTATTGCCATTGGAGGGATGTTCTACGCCCTCACCTGGGAGACATTTGCCTTGGCAATAGCTTGTGGTAAGTAACCAGGCTCTTTACGGTAGTGGCCCCCACCAACACTTTTGGCACCAGGAACCAGTTCCTTGTAGAGAGGTTTTTCCGCGGACCGAAGGGGACGTTGTTTCGCATGCCACCTGCATGACACGGATAGGCCTTTGCTCGTTTGCGGAGACTGGTTTCTGGCATGCCGCAAGCAACTGGTTCCACGGACCAGGCGTTGGGGACCCCTGCTTTACATCACTAAGTGTTGTGGCCCGTCAGCGGCCTGTGAAGACTGTAGCCGATTCCGACAACAAGGAGGCTGGTGTGGTGCTGCGTCAGCAGCCTGTGCAGCTGGCGCTCGAGTCGGACAGTGAGGAGGCTGGAGAAGATGTAGTGCCAGAGGCGGAGATTCAGCCAGGGCCTTCAGAACCTCCAGAAGCTCCTATAAGTAAAGAGGACGAAGAGGAGGAGCCTCTGCTCGATGCACGGGCGCGCAGAGCTGCCAAAAGGCAGGAGTGGTTCCTCAGGAGGTCTCCTCGAGAGTAGGGCTTGGGGCTAATTGGCCACTCCCTTAGCCTATTTAAGGAGGAATGCCGATTGCAGCAAGTTGTAGGGAACAACTTTAGTTCACTCTCCTTCGTGTCTGCAAAATTGTTTCTGGGCTTTCTGCCAACTCTAGTAAGACTGTGATTACCTAATCTTAGAATTCTGGTAGGCTGTTAAGACAGTTTATTAACAGCCTTTGAATGATAAAGACTAAGTTATTTGAGTAAAATAAGCTTTGTATAGAGTTTGTGTGTGCTGCGTTCTTTGGGGTCCATAGCTGGGGCAGAACACTAAAATACAGATAGTCCTCAACATACGACCGATTGCTTAGTGATCTGTATGGTCAACTAAGCTCTGATGGACCCACCATACAGGTAGTCCTCGAGTTACGAATGTCATGGAGCCTGCCCATTCCATTCATAACCTGAGGATTCATGGGAGTGAATCTCATACCTTGAACGGGATGGCTCCCTCCTTTCGTTTAACATTCACTTAACAACCAACACAAATAAAGGTCATGAAACCAGGACGGTCACACGATCCTGTTCTACAGCGGTTTTGCTGGACCAAGTGAACCATTGATTTGCTTAATGGCTGCAGTTTTCGTTGAACAACCACTGATTCACTTAGCTGCCATAGGATTCGCTCAACAACCATCGCAAAAAAAGGTCACAAAATCCGGACAGTCGCACAACTCCATTTTAAGATGCTTCGCAGCATTGGTCTGCTTAATGACTGCAGCTTTCTCCTAATGGCGGCAGCGAGTCACTTAACAATCAGCACAAAAAGGGTCATAATATCGCAGGCATCATTCGGGTCATAACTCAAGGAATAGCTGTAGGATCAAAGTCCCAAAGGTGCTTTTTTCAAGAGGCAACTGGACTTTTGTGTTTTTCTTGGAAGACGTTTCGCTTCTCATCCAAGAAGCTTCTTCAGCTCTGACCGGATGGTGGGGAATGGAAGGGTTTACTCTCCTTGCAGACAGCTGGACATTTGCTGAAGAAGTCAGTCAGAGCTGAAGAAGCTTCTTGGATGAGAAGCGAAATGTCTTCAAAAAAAAATCCAGTTACCTCTTGAAAAAGCACCTCTGGGACAATCATGACTTGGATGACTGAGAATCTCCATAGACATGTAGGATCGAAGGATTTGTCCAAGTTCACACAACTTGTTTTAAAGCCAGGTGAACAAATACAGTTACTTTGTTTACCTCCACGTCATGGTGCAACCAACAGACCTTGTTCTGTGATGGGCCGCTTCACCCATGGAAGGTCACAATAATGACTAAACCTCAAATCAGTGAACCTGACTTTTAGCTGAGTGTTATATGAACTTTGCCACTGGAGAAAGCAAGTGTGTTTGGAAGAGTCAGCGGAAAAAAAAGGAAACCAGGCTGCCAGAGAATACGGCGGCTGGAATCACCATCCAAGCTGACCCCAGCCAGAGCAGAGAACAACTCAAAGAAGCAATGCAAGATCGGAAGAAGTTGTTCTGACTTAGGCTTCCTGAGACAGTAAAAACACACAATTAGTCCCAAAAACTCTCTTTTTATTTCAACGGCTGTGAATTCTGTTCATTCCCAGGCCGTGATGAGTCACAAATAGTTTGTAAAGAGTCCGACAGAAGTCTGCCGCAGTCCTTCGGGATAAGGCTGATAAACACCCACCTTTATCTCCCTTGACGCCCTGCCAAAGACCTAATTGGCAATTAGCTTTGCAAAACCACACAGCACAGAGTCAAAAACGGAGCTTCAGAATTTAAACCGACCAGCACGAACAAAGTTGCTTCCTGCAAAGGCTCACGTGCCTTTGCTCCTCCTTTATGTCTTATGGGACCTAGGCTTCCTGAGTCAGTAAAACACACAAGTAGTCCCAAAAAACTGTTTTATTGCAACAGCTGTGAATTATGTTCATTCACAGATGAGTCCCAAATAGTTGTAAAGAGTCCTTCGGGATAAGGCTGATAAGCACCCACCTTTATCTCCCTTGAAGCCCTGCCAAAGACCTAATTGGCAATTAGCTTTGCAAGGCCACGCCGAGCACAGAGTCAAAACGGAGCTTCAGAATTTAAACCGACCAGCATGAACAAAGTTGCTTCCTGCAAAGGCTCACGTGCCTTTGCTCCTCTTTATGTCTTATGGGAGGGGCCAATCATCTCCAAGCCTTACTCCTGAGTCACCCCTTTTTTCTTAACTGTTCTTGCCTTCTGGTAGCTCTGCGCATGCACGCACTAGGAACAGGCTCCCCCTGTTCCTCTGCCTCGCTGACATCAGACTCTGGAGGCTCCGGAGTCAGCACATAACTTTCTGAGCTGAAGACGCTTCTTGGATGAGAAGCGAAATGTCTTCAAAGAAAAAACAGAAAGTCCAGTCGCCGCCTGAAAAAGCACCTTTGGGACAACCATGACCTGGATGACTGAAAATCTCCACAAACTTTTAGCTATACAATTTGAATGGTGTGGAAGTATGAACGGATTTCCAGAGGAAAAAAATTGCACAACTACAAGAACCAGGAGCACAACTCAGGTGACCCTGAGGACACAGATAAACCTCCAAGTCCTTCAACAATCCTCAAAAGGGATGCAATTGACCAGCTCTCTTCAAGGAATATAAATCCTTCCATTCCCCCACCATCCAGTCAGAGCTGAAGAAGCTTCTTGGATGAGAAGCGAAACGTCTTCAAAGAAAAACCAGAAAGTCCAGTTGCCTCTTTAAAAAAAAAAGCATCTTTGGAACGATGAAGTGAAGGAGAAAAGTTCAGGAAATGGAAGAACTTAATGGCTGGGCTTTAACAAATGACTATTTTAATTTATTATATTATATTTATTATATTTATGTATTGTAGCTCAGCATATGGTTCCAACCCACCAGTCCACTATAGGTCTTTGGTTCAATGTTTTGTAGGGAATCCTCCCAAAATAGCTTTATTTATTTATTTGTATCCCTAGCTTTTTTATTGTTATATCTCATACAGTCCATCAAAATTCTATTGTAGACTCTGTATTGTTCCAGGAGATTTATTCTGAAGCTGAGAATTTAGCTAAATAGAAAACAGTATATACTGTATTTTGGGGGGGGGGGTTGGTTTTTAAAAGCCCCCAGAAACTATAACTGATAGATCATTCGTAATTCAGAAGAACGGCAATATTCAATGATATTTTATTATTTTTACAAATAACTCAAGGCAGCAAACATCTCCAACACACCTTCCTCCTTCTCTTTTTCCCCCAGAACAACAACCTTGTGAGGTGGGTCGGGCCAAGAGGGAGGGATTGGCCCAAAGTAATAGATCGGAGTCCTATTTCACCACCTAGCCCTTAACCCCTTATTATTTCAGAGTCTCTGACAGCAAATAACAACATTATGTATTTATATTTCTTTTTGCAGCTTTTTTTACCACCTACGCGGGAGAAGCGATGGGCCGCATCTTTTCCGTGGTACGTTGCTGACAATTGAGGAACAAAGATTGCATTTATATCTATTTATCATCATTGATTCTTTGCTCACTTTGGGAGGGGGGGGAATTAAAGGCGGCTTATATGAGGTGGGGTCTGTCTTATTTTAACCCCACAACACTCCACCTGCAAGGCATAACCGTTAGGACACATGGTAACCGGCTTAACGACTGCAAGCAAAATTGCAGTCATATGTTGAGAACTATTTGTAATACAGCGTCCTCTTCCCACAAAATTCAATTCAGTTCATACTCTAGAAAGAGTGCAGAGAAGAGCAACAAAAATAATTAGGGGACTGGAGGCTAAAACATATGAAGAACAGTTGCTGGAACTGGGTATGTCTAGTTTGTTTGTTTGTTTGTTTGTTTTATTGGATTTATATACCGCCCTACTCCCGAAGGACTCAGGGCGGTGAACAGCCACAGAATAAAACACATAAATACAAAAATTTAAAATAGAATAAAAACGAATTAAATAATTTGGCTGAGACAAATTTAAAATACCCAATAATTTAAAATAATTTAGTTCAGGGGTCGGCAACCTTAAACACTCAAAGAGCCATTTGGACATCCTTCCCACAGAAAAGAAAACACCGGAAGCCACAAAACCCTTCCCGGGCCTGACTATTTCTTGAGCGGCCACAAAACTAGCATATGTAGTCGAATTAAATGTTCTGTTTTCTTCTGAAACTTTTATTTTCTTGGATTTATCCATGGTTGGCCTACCAGGAGTTGAAAAGCTCAATAAATCGCGTGCCGGCAGGTGTCGCATATTGGCGGTTATGATGTCTATTTTGAGCGACAGGGAGCTGCAGCAGAGGGGTAAAAGAGCCACATGCGGCTCCAGAGCAGCCGGTTGCTGACCTCTAGTCTAGTTTAATGAAAAGAAGGACTAGGGGAGATATGATAGCAGTATTCCAGTATTTGAGGGGCTACCACAAAGAAGAGGGGGTCAACCTATTCTCCAAAGCACCTGAAGGCAGGACAAGAAGCAATGGATGGAAACTAATCAAGGAGAAAAGCAACTTGGAATGAAGGAGAAACTTCCTGACAGTGAGAACAATTAATCAGTTACCTTCAGAAGTTGTGGGTGCTCTAACATTGGAGGTTCTTAAGAGGAGATTGCACAACCATTGGTCTGAAATAATATAATCTTTCCTGCCTGAGCAGGGGGTTGGACTAGAAGACCTCCAAGGTCCCTTCCAACTCTGTTACTCAGTTATGAATGTTTTGAGTGAGTCCCAAAGTAAGACAACAGAGCCACGTTTCTCCATAGATGTTGATGTTCTAAATCAGGGGTGGGGAAACTATGGCCCTTTTATGACCTGTGGACTTCAACTCCCAGAATGGCTGACTCGGAAATTCTGGGGGTTGATGTCCACAAGTCATAAAGAGGCCGTAGTTCCCCACCTCTGTTCTAAATCATAGTCCACTTGATACCATTGTCAGCGCAGTAGATATCTTCCATTATTGCTCTTGTTTAATTCCAAAAAGTGTGGTAACACTTTCTAAGCTTACTACAGGTGTAAAAACAAGGTGGGGGAATTATCCTCACTGCTTATCCTCACTCACCTTCCTGCTCTTAACCACCACCAACAAGGCCATTGTCAACACAGTAGATATCTTCCATTATTGCTCTTGTTTAATTCCAAAAAGTGTGTGTAGCACTTTCTAAGCTTACTACAGGTGTAAAAACAAGGTGGGGGAGGACATTTCTGAGATGTTGCTGTTTTTTTATTCTTTTCCAGTTTGGGATGCCAGTAGGGACCTGGCCTTTCTGCTTATCCTCACTCACCTTCCTGCTCTTAACCACTACCAACAAGGCCATCTTCAAGCTACCCCTTTCCAAAGTCACCTATCCCGAAGCCAACCGGGCGTACTATATGGAGAGAAAGAAACCGTGCTCGGAATCCATTTGCGACAAAGTGTAAGCAAGCAACTAGAGAGTCTTCCCAAGGAAGAACAGAAGAAAAACGTAGTTTTCGGTGGGACAGTTTGTTCTTCTCGCTTGTAGATGCCTTCACTTGGATCAGTCAAGTTCAACTTTCGAAATGTTCTTCAGTCAGAAGTGAATGTATTCATCTGGAAAGGAACATAAAATATATGTGGGACAATTCAGTTTAGACCAGAGGTGTCCAAATTTGGCAACTTTAAGACTTGTGGTCTTCAACTCCCAGAATTCCTCAGCCTTTTTTTTTTTAAGCCATAAAATCAGACATGACTCATTTAAGAACTGTCTTGCTTAGCAATGGAAATTCTGGTGCCAAATATCGTCGTAAGTCAAGGACTATTTGTAAAGAAGATAAATTATTATTATTATTATTTACAAACTTAGCTGTTACCTGCAAGTTATGAATACTTTAATGAATGAGTGAATACTTTATTTGCCAAGTGTGATTAGACACACAATATTCTCTTTATATAAATATTAGCTGATAACCCGGCGTTGCCCGGGTATTTATTTATCCCAATTCTATATTAGAATTTTCCACCTTACCAGAGGGAGTCCCCTTGTGGAAGTTGTTACCATGGCACCTTCACTGTGCTGCACAGTAGAAGCCATTTTAAGGCAGTACAGTAGACACCATTTTAAGGCACAACAGGCTGTATCTTAACAGAACACACATCCAGGGGGTGTTAGGGATGTCTTACCCCCACAGTATTTTTTTCCAGAGAGTAAGTCATCTGTGTACCAAGTTTTGTTGAAATTGCTCGAGGAGTTCCAGAGTTATGCTGGAACATACACACACACAGCCATTTATATATAGATAGATTCAGGAAACAAATTGTTACACAATACCTAACAACACAGAGAGTCGATCCGGACAGAACTGGCTGAATCCCACCACTGCTTTGGAGGTCCAACTTCATGATCTACAACTCATTGGAGTCATTCTATGAGATAAGGAGCCAAAATAGTCCATATAAGTCCTGTAAATAAACTCACCCAACATGTATATATATTGTAAATAAACTCAATCAACATTATACATTGTCATTTCCTGCCTTACTACAAGTGTAATGAATCTTTTAGGTTTTTATATTTTTTTGAAAGTCAAATAAACTATACCAAAATGCATGAACTAAAAAAAGTTTTCTTTCTTTTTTTTAATGGACTGCTTGTCCGTCATCCTTCTAGAGACTGTATGATAACCAAACACCACCAATTCTGCCTTAATCGTTGCTCCCTAGTTTTAGGCTCTGAATGGTATTAAACCAGGGGTGAAATGCTCCCGGTTCGGACCAGATCACCCGATCTGGTAGCGATGGCGGGTGGTGGTTCGGAGAACCGGTAGCAAAAATCCCTGCCCAGCTGAGCTGCGCAATCATCAGAGGCTTTTTTTTTATTTTTAAAAGCATTTTTTCTACAACCTCCTCGGCCGAAGAGATTGTAGAAAAAATGTTTTTAAAAGGAAAAAAAGCCTCTGCCGATTAGGCAAGTCAGCTGGGATCGTCAGAGGCTTTAAAAAAAAGCCTCTGCTGATCAGGCAAGTCAGCTGGGATCGTCAGAGGCTTTTAAAAGCATTTTTTTACAACCTCTTCAGCAGAAGAGGTTGTAGAAAAAATGGTTTAAAAAAAAAAGTTGGCCACGCCCACTCAGTCATATTACCCACCACCACCAAGCCACGCCCACAGAACTGGTAGTAACAAATTTTACATTTCACCACTGGTATTAAACAGCTTTTTTTAAAAAAATGAATGTATCTATCAGACAGAAGCAAAGTCAAAATTGTTATATGTACATGAAAGATAGATCAATTCACCTCTAAAGCAGACAGTAATCCTTGTAGGAAAAGGAGTGACAGAACCTGGGGGTGGAGTTAAAAGAGGAATCAGCCTAGAATCCCTACATAGCCACAAGTCAACTAAGTCCAGCCCCCTTTGAGTACCATTAGCCCTTATCTAACTAACTAGGTGTCTACCACCTAGTTGTTCCTGTGCTTAGGCATGAGTAGCAATCAATCAGTTTAATTAGATCTTCATGTGTTGACCTGATCTTTCGTATCTGAGAGTCCTTCACTTACAATTATTCGTTTAGTTCGCCTGATTTACCAGTTGCGTCCCTTTCTGGACTGGGACGCCTTGCGCACGGTCACTCACGCCCTCGTCCCATCCCGTCTGGACTATTGTAATGCTCTCTACATGGGGCTCCCCTTGAAGAGCACCCGGAGGCTCCAACTAGTCCAAAATGCGGCCGCGGGTGATTGTGGGAACGATACGGTGCACCCATGTAACACCTCTCCTGTACGAGCTGCACTGGCTCCCGGTGGTCTTCTGGGTGCGATTCAAGGTGCTGGTTACCATCTTTAAAGTGCTCCATGGCTTAGGACCTGGGTATGTACGAGATTGCCTTCTGCCACAGGTAGCCTCCCACCGGCCAATACGCTCCCACAGAGAGGGACTCCTCAGGGTGCCGTTGGCCAAACAATGTCGACTGGCGACACCCAGGGGGAGAGCCTTCTCTGTGGGGGCACCTGCCCTCTGGAATGACCTGCCCCTGGAGGTTCGTATGATCCCCGACCTTCGTACCTTTCGCCGTGCCCTTAAGACCCTTTTGTTCCAACAGGCCGGGCTGGCTTAGAATATGAATTTTAAATTGGGTTGTTTGTCAATTTTTAACTTTGTGGGCCAAATTTTATATATTCGTTTTAAATTGTTTTTAAATTTTGTGAGTTCATGTGTGTTTTAACATGGCTGTACACCGCCCTGAGTCCTTCAGGAGAAGGGCGGTATAGAAGTTTAATAAACTAAACTAAACTAAACTTAATGACCGTTGAAATTTACAATGGAACTGGAAAAAAAATCACCTGATCAAAATTCAGGTGCTTCACAATGGACATATATTTACAATGGTTGCAGTGTCACGCGATCCCTATTTGTGAACTTCCCAGCCGGCTTCCAATAAGCAAAGTCAGGGGTGGAAGTTGCATTTGCTTAACAACCACGTGATTCACTTAATATCCCGCCAGCCGCCTCCTCCTATGTGCATGAGCACACACCGGGATTGGGTGGGCCTGGCTGAAGCAACACAGGCTGGCCCTTACCATTTCCAAGATGGCCGCACAGGCCAGATCCGACCACATCGTGGGTCAGATCTGGCCTGTGGGCCTTGAGTTTGACACCCCTGTTCTAGACAAATGGCTGTCCAATCTCTTCTTTAAAAAATCTCCAGTTTTTAATAATTTCTGGTGGCAAGCTGTTCCACTGGTTGATTGTTCTCACTGTCAGGAAATTTCTCCTTAGTTCTAAGTTGCTTCTCTCCTTGATTAGTTTTCCCCCATTGCTTCTTGTTCTACCCTCAGGTGCTTTGAAGAATAGTTTGACTCCCTCTTCTTTGTGGCAGCCCCTGAGATATTGGAAGACTTCTATCTAGTCCTAGTCTATCCCTAGTCCTTCTCTTCATCAAACTAGACATGCCCAGTTCCTGCAACCGTTCTTCATATGTTTTAGCCTCCAGTCCCCTAATCATCTTGGTTGCTCTTCTCTGCACTCTTCCTAGAGTCTCCACATCTTTTTTATATTGTGGCAACCAAAACTGAATGCAATATTCCAAGTGTGGCCAAGGAATGTCCATGGAGATTCTCAGTTATGGAGGTCAGGGTTGAGTCCACATTCAACCATCTTCACATTCTGGACAGAGAGGATCACTGGTTTGAAAGAAGGGTCAAAGAAGCCATCTACATTAAGACTGAACAGCCCTCCCTCAAAAAAGGGGGAGGGATACGCCACCATCCCATCTCCTGTTTACAACATGGTCCTTTGAGCAGTTCCTAGAAGGTTCCACCCCCATTTGCACTATTCAGATGATTCCTAGTCCTAGTGTGGTCTTACCAAGGCATTCTTTTTATTTATTTTATTTCATCAAAGATGTATTTTATGACAGATACAAGTGTAAACATAATTATAAATACATGAAAAGGATACGAATAAAAGAAAACATTAGGACAGGGATGGTAGCCATGCTGGTGCGCTTATGCACGCCCCTTACAGACCTCTTAGGAACAGGGTGAAGTCTACAATAGACAGTCTAAGGTTAAAGTTTTGGGGATTTGGGGAAGAAACCACAGAGTCAGGTAGTGCATTCCAGGTGTTGACAACTCTGTTACTGAAGAGTAGAGGTGGATTTCAGCAGGTTCTGGCCAATTCTGGAGAACCAGTAGCGGAAATTTTGAGTAGTTCGGAGAACTGATAAATACCACCTCTGACTGGCCCCGCCACCATCTATTCTCTGCCACCCGAGTCCCAGCTGATTGGGAGGAAATGGGGATTTTGCAGTAACCTTCCCCTGGAGTTGGGAGGGAATGGGGATTTTATAGTATCCTTACCCTGGAGTGGGGTGGGAATGGAGATTTTACAGTATCCTTCTCCTACCATGCCCACTAAGCCACACCCACAGAACCAGTAGTAAAAAATTTTGAAACCCACCACTGTTATAAAGTGATATTCTTTTTGTTGTGTGATCACTCCTGGATGTGACCAGGAAGGACAAAAGGTCTTGGCACAAAGCTGTCTGAACTGGATATAGTTAGGCTTTTAAAGAGATAAAATAGGCTGGAGAAAATCCTTTGAAAATCACAAGTAAAGATTTAGGGGGTTACGTCTAAGCCCCCAAAACACATAAATATCTTGGTTTGGGCTTTATGTTTTGAGAGAGAAGAAGGGTGAATGTTAGCTGACTTTGTTCACGGATAGCATTCATTTCACCCCTGAAAGAAGAAATCTTAAAGCTACTTTAAGGATTAATAATGGGTTTCTATTACACTCTGGTGGGAAGCTACCACTCTCCTAGAAGAATGAAATATTTTGAGAAATATTTTAAAAGGCAGGATAAAATATATCCCCTAAAAGAGAAATAAAGAATCTTAAGGGAGACAGAAACTCAGAGCCCCAACTCCCTGCACCCAGCAGATATTTGGTGCCCATTAAGAAGGACTGGGCCAGCCTATCTACAAGACAAAATACCTCAGACTCAGTGGTGGTATTCAGCCGGTTCGGACTGGTTCAGGCAAACCGGTAGTGGCGACCTGCGGATTGCCGCCCACGCGCCCTGGAGCAGGGGTGGGTTCTAATTTTTTTTACTACCGGTTCTGTGGGCGTGGCTTATTTTGTGGGTGTGGCTTGGAGGCCATGTGACTAGGTGGGCGTGGCTAGCTGGTCAGAGTCATTTCTGGAAGGTCCTTGCACTTACGACCAGTCCTCGCACTTACGACCCGACTCATTTGTTTGCTTTTAACACTGATCAGCTGTAGGGCGGCCCTTTGAAACCCCGCCGCAAGAGTTTAAACAGTTTTTTTCCCTCTAGTCATCAGCTGGGACTCAGGAGGCAGCAAGAGATTGGGGGCGGGACCAAATAAAAGGTAAGAATAACGTGGGGGGTGGGAGGGTGGGGGGGAGAACCGGTTTGGTGATGTCATATCATCACCGCTACCAGTTCGGCCGAACCGGACCAAACCGGGAGGAACCCACCACTGCCCTGGAGCTATGCTGGCCTATTTAGCCACATTTTCTAAGCCACGTGCATGCATCTTAGCTTAGTTTCTGTGTGCGGCGAACCGGTGTTAAAATTATGTGAAAGCCACCTCTGCTCCAGCTCCAGGATGATGGGATTAAGACATGACCCCTCAGGACATAATAGGATTAACCCACTACCATTTAGCAGCAGAGCTCACTACATTACACAGTCTCCTAAGGATCATTGCATCACCCTCCAAACTTCAACCAAACTTAGCTCAGGCAACCTACAGAGCCAGCTATGAATCCTAAAACAGCCAATAGAATACACGTTCTTGCACAGGAACAGGAAGTTCAAGTGCAAAGCCCAAGAGAAGGTATGAAAGCCACCCACTCTCAACTCCATCTCGTCAGCTGTCCAAGTCTTCAAACCCCTGTGGTTCTGCTTCATCATTAAACCATCATTCCAATCAGCCTCCATGTTTCCAGTGTCTTTCTCCCGGCTTGGAACTGAACCAGATGGATATTTCTTCCAGTGGTGAAATCCTCTGCAGTTTGCCATCGGTTCGCTTCCCGGGCATGCGTGGTGTGCACCGAACACGTTCTGTGCACACGCATGCACAGTGC